GATAATATATATATATATATTATCTACTTATTTCTAAACTACACTCGTTTAAATTTTGGTTTAAAAATTAACAACTAAATTATATTTTAATATATATTTAGAGTTAATTTAAATCTTATATGAAATTAAAGTTAAATGTATGATAAGTTAGATATTTTCCATTTACATATTATTCACATCATTTTTATATAAAAAATCATACATTTCATGATTACAGAATTTTATTAATATATATAAATTTTTATTAATATATTATTGAAAACGGTTGAATTGGTGACACGTAATTTTTGAAGGGCATTTTATAAAATTTGGATCTAAAAAATACAACTATAATAATTTGCAAGATTTGTCATAAAATACAAGATGTGAATTGATTTTGCAAGCTCAGTAGTATAGTCTTACCATATAATTTGCAAGTTAAACGGATTTAAAAATACGAAAAAGTTAAAAATAATAATAATAATAATAATAAATAACCCAAATTGATTACGTTGACGGGAGGAAAATATAAAGAGGAAAAAATTAATTATTATGGAAAGTAAAATCTAATTCTTGAGGTAATTTAAAAAAAAAATATATATATATATATATATATATATATATATATATATATATATAAACATAGTGTATTTTTTTTTTCAAAATGAAGAGAGAGTATATTAGTAAAAAAAGAGTATATACTAATATTAAAAGTGTAAAAATAGTATTTTCCAATAATAAATTATTCAGGATTTTAGGAGTTTTCTCTGTTTTTTTTTTTTTTCAACGAAAGCAATTTTAAGTATACACTCATTTACCCTTTTCAACATCTGTAATTATAACGCTGTACAGCAATAGCTTTTAAAAGAAACTATCAATATTATAAATAACATTGTACAATAATAACTTATATATCATAAATATAAAATATAATTTATATGGTAAAATATTTGTTATTATCAAACTTAATTATAATATAATTTATAAATTAAGAAATATTTATTTATTTATTATGATATATATATATATATATATATATATATATATATATATCTTAGTCTTATATACAATAATATTTTAAGGATTTATTTTTGTGCCTAAGATATTGTGATTTAGAAACTAATCTATTATAGTTTTATCTTAAAAAAACATCTTCATAAATGAAGAAAAAAATATATACAACTATAGTAACCTGCAAATGATTTGAAACTTGATAACCTAGGAAAATTATATATATATATATATATATATATATATATATATATATATATATATATATTTATTTTATATAATATAACACAATACAGTTTAAATACCGAAAGCAGTAAATATTTATATACATGGTTATATATATAAGCAGTAAATATTTATATACATGGTTATATATATATATATATATATATATATATATATATATATATATATATATATATATATATATAAAGAGTGTGAAAATGTTAAAGAAAATAATTATGTCGGTAGAAACTAGGTTAAAAATGCATTATTTAAACTTTATTTTTTTAGTAATAAGAAATAATTTAATTAATGAAGTGTTATTATACCGAGAATTTGCAATATTTTACTGTAAATTAATACTACGTAAAAAAATTATTATTTAAATTAATAAAAAAAATTAAAATTAAAAAAAATGATAGAATGCTATGTGTTAGTTTAATAATAAGTTATAATTATATTATAAATAATATATATATATATATATATATATATATTACTTTTTTATTTTTTATGATTTTATTTTGTACTTATTTAATCTCGAGAGTACGGGTATAACGAAAATTTCTTGTACCTCACTACTTAGATTTCAGATGATGTAACCAAATATTTTGCCGCAGCAATGGAATCAAGCGCCTTCCTATATAGTTTCAAAGCATGTATAATAGTTGTAATGATAGACGAATATGAAAATGAGAATTACCCTAAAAACACTCCAAAAGAAAGTTGAACAATATTGAAGGCAATATCAATAGGAGTTGAAGGTCTTACGGGATAAGCTCAAGGAGATAGCTAAAAAATCGGGTGATCAAAGTCCCGCATCAAAGATCCCGAGCAACAAAAAAATTGACACTAAGAAAGACTATGCAAACTCAAAGAAAACTGAAAAGAATTGTGAAGCCGTCATATTAACCTGTGCAGCAATGTAAGCACGTTCCAGATACTAATACTTGTTCTTTGTTGAAATACCCGATGAACCTCTCTAAAAAATTGGCTAATATCTTCTATCGATGCTTACATTTGGACTGTAGACCCTCAGAGCATATTTCATACATGTTGAGGTATATTTAGACAGGAACTCTTTAAATATAGAACCTTTCTAACCACACTCAAAGGAATTGCACTCAAGTGTACTGTGAATTGACTAGTGGGTTAATACTTTTCTTTAAAGCCCTACCAAATAAACTTAAAGTTCAATTTGCCACCAATCGATCTCACACGAATCTTTGAATGCATTAGACAAAGAGAAAATGAATTATTATATAAATTTTTAAAAAATTTGTCATCATTAACCTTTCAATACCAAATTTAGAATCTCCTCTTGCAATGCACATCATAATAATCGACCTCCGAACAAGATCATTTTTTAAAAATTTGTATTTGAACACACTGAAATACATAAATGATTTTAGGATGTGAACATCAAATTATATACAACATGAAGAAAATACTAAATTTCAAAAGAGAAAAAAAGAAGAGTTTGACCAAATAGAGTTGACAAGAACCATTCAACCAAGTATACAAAGAGGGTCAAGTACGATAAATTTATACCATTGAACACTTCTAAAGAAACCATCCTCAAGGAAGCATACAACCTGGAATTCTTCCTCAATAATCATTCACAACACTAAACATAGACAAATAAAAAAAATGTCTATCATCAAAATTATGGTTACAACACAAAGGATTTTACAGTTTGTTTATCATTCAATCTAGGAAATTAACCTAATATGTTTGTCCACATAACGAAAGAGGTCGTAGAGGATACCGAGAAAGAGATACCGAGAAAGATGATGCAAATATAGAAAACGTGGATGATGATATTATCAACACCAAAGTGGATTGGAGAATAATCAAACTCCAGTACAACCTGTTCAACCATAAATTACCCATAAAATAAGAAAGGTGATAAATTCAATTTTCAAAAGGTTTGAAGATGGAGAATCAACCAACTCAATAAGGGAGCGACATTTACATGCCATATATCATATCCGAGCAGTTCCCCCAATATCAGATTTTCCTTTTATCAATATTTTCAACAAAGATTACGCTAAATATGACTTAGCTTAAGATGACCTGGTTGTTATCACAGTTACTATTACTAATTGTGAAGTCAGAAAAACCTAAATAGACCAAGACAATCAATGCGTTATATTGGTAAATATTTCTCAAGTTAGGATTATCACATGATTTGATACATCCCTATTCTAACCTACTCTATTTTGCAAGAGAGTTTTCACTCAATGATATATTAATTTGTTGACTACCTTTGAAACAACAACTCAATGTAGCATGTTTATGAGATTCATCTTGATGGAGACAAATACGTCATACAACATATTGATCAGAAGACGAACACTCAACTAGCAAAGGGCAATTTTATCAACCCCCACACATGACGATGAAAATTTGATCATTCGATAATATGTTCATAATTACAGTAAGATCCAACTCTAGAGAAGTTAGGACATGCTACACTAAAAGTCTTAAGGTAGAACCTTACTCAGTGATGAAAAGTTTCAGAAATAACACTAGGTTTAGGTCTACAAATAGAATAATGTGAAGTAGGATAATTTCGACCCAAGAATAGAAGCAGATGAGACACGACCTACTTTTGATGAGGAGATATTAGATTTTCAAATCAAAGAGATACATGTCAAGTCATAGACATTGGACACAATTGTTCACAAATAAATTGAGGAAGTTATTCTAAAAAATATTGATTTGTTAGCGTGAAATGCAACCAATATATCAAATATTGATCTTAATATTGTTTCTCAGAAGTTATTAATTTTGCTAAACATATATCTCAACAAAAAAATATAAGTTAGGAGAAAAAAAAGAAGACAAATGATATAATAAGAGGTGACTTCTTTCAAGAATTATCATATATTACATGATTCACAATTGTAATATTAATACAAATAAAATAAATATATTGATCTAAATAAAACCTTCTAAATTTTTCAAACTTATTCGATTAGATAACAACCTATTTATTGTATAAAAAATAATTTAAATAAATATATATTACATAATAAATTATTAAAATAGTTTAATTAAAGAGATATGTTTGATTTTAAGAGGTTATCTAATAAAAAAATATTCACGAATACTTTTAAATAAGGATTTGTGTGATTATTAATTTATATTTTTAATAAATATATTAGTTTTTTTAAATAAATAATTTATTATAAAATTATTTTATTTATATATAATAATATTTATAATTATATAACAGAAAATTTTATTTATAATTCTTAAAAAAATAAAGTATCATAAATTTAAGAAAATATAATTATTTTGAAATATAATAAATATATAATAGAAAAATATAATACTAATTAATAGAAAAATAATATTAAAAATACTTTAAAAGTAGTAATTATAAAAAATAATACAGTAAAAAAATAAAAAAAATAAAAAATATACATAAAAAAAATAATGCATTATTCAACTATGTGTCACTACTGACATGAATTGCTATATATTTAATAAAACATATTTAATAAATTGAATTATCTTATTTAAATATAAATTTTAAACTTATTTAATATATTATATATTTTTAGGGAATTATTATTCACTGTTTTGATATTTATTTTGCATTTTATAAATTTAACTAGGTTAGTATTAAAATTGAAAGAATGGATGAACTATAAACACTACAGAGAAACGTAAAAAAAGAAAACCAACTAGTGAGTCAAGTGCGGGAACGAGTCGAACTCGGTCTCCACACACTGATCTCACACCACCATCAGGTTCAGGGCGAGGAAGAAGGAAGAAGCATGGCGGTGCGGGCCACAGTGTCGCGTTTCCCTATGGACGCGGACGCTCGCGAGGGCTCCGGCCTCCTCTGGGGAGTCACCGTCACTCCCTTCGCCGCCGTCGACGAGAACCACCGCGCTCCATCGTACAGCTCCGGAGGAGACCTCTTACCGCGCTGCGAGAACTGCTGGGCTTATTTCAACACCTACTGCGAGCTCGAGCAGTGGTCCTGGTCCTGCTCCCTCTGCGGCAACCTCAACGGCCTCTCCTCCGATGCCATCGAACGGTATTCTCGCCCTCAGTCCTGCGCCGAGATGATGTCCTCTTTCGTAGATCTCGAATTGCCTTCGCGTAATTATCGAATTTACCTATCATCTTGGTTCATCGCTGTTGAATTGAATTGCTCTTGTGCATGGTTTTCAGATTTGACTGTTTTGAATTGGAAATGTTGCAGAGGAATCGGCGGAGGAAGCGGCAATGCTGGCGTGTCCGGTTTATGTTGCTGCTGTTGACTTGTCATGTAAGGTTCCTCATATCGTGGCTTATTGATATGCTAATTGTGATAATTGGAAATGTATTTTGACAATTGGATGGTTCGATGAGGTTAAGTGATTTGGAGTTTCGCGGTCTGGTGCTGACTGTAAGTTTTGCTTTGGAGTTTTCTGATTAGTACCTAGTTTTTGCCTAAGAAGTTTTTTGTGTGAGAGCGCAGTGTGGCATTTTATAATTCTGTAGGCTATGTTGCATATGGTGATTTGAACTTTTATATGTCTGGGTTCCATCTGCATCCGATATTATCCACTTTTCTTTATTTAAGAGTTGAGACTGTTAGTAAATATTTTTTTCTATATTAATTTTATCTAACATAGACCGGAGAGTGAGATGCAGTTTCGCAAAACATGGCATCTTTGTGTGGGTTTGGGTGAATGATTATTAGATTATGTGGCCGTGTATTTTCAGTTTACACGCCATGATTGCTGCAAGTTAGACTGATATAGGATTTGGAACTTGGATGGGGGCTGTGTTTTTTGGACTAACTTCTGTTGAATGAAAAGGTTGTGATTGCACAAATGACCTTTAGTTTTGATCCTTTTCCCCTATTAAATATTTCAATACCTTTTTGCCTATTTCTGGTCATTTTGAATCTGTATAGAAGGATGTAATGATTAAGTTGAAGATAATTGTGCCTGGTTAACATATTTGTTATTCTATTTTTACATTTGTTTTCTTCATTTGTCTTCATTAAAGCTTGACTCATTTTCCTTAATATAAAGATGTATCTTCTTTTTGATTGTCATTTTGTGATTGAGAAAATATTTTCGGTTATACTGCAGCTTCTGAGGAGTTTCTAGAGCTTACCAAAAGTGCACTGCTGGCTGCTCTGGAAGGTACTATGTTGACCACACTATATTTATTTCCTGCACAAGGTTGATATTTTGAATGTTTCTCTTATATTGTTTTTTTCTTTTTGATTTCTATTGCAGCTCTTCCTCCTGGTTCACTTTTTGGGCTTGCTACCTTCAGCCACAAACTAGGATTGTATGATGTTCAAGGTCCAATACCTGTCGTGAAAAATGTTTTCATTCCTCCTGATGCAGAGGGAACCTTGCCTATTGAGCTTGAAGATGTCATGCCTTTGTTACAGTTTCTGGCTCCTGTATGTTAATTATAACCAATGTTTTTAATATTTCAGAAATGTGTTTTCATGTTGAAGAATAGACATCACATTATAATGTGTCAGACCTAAATTCCATATTTTTCATCAAAGGTGGACACTTGTAAGGACCGCATTGCATCTGCACTTGAAACACTTAGACCAACAACTTCATGGGAAAGAACTACGGGAGCAGGTCAAGGACTGGATGGTGTTCTGATAGGTGGGCGTGGTTTTGGGATGGCAATGGAAGCTCTCTGCAATTACCTTGGATCGGAATATGGGAGCACTTTTGCTTTAGGTTTGAATGAACAAATACAAAACTTACCATATATGACTTTTGTTGGTGTGCTACTTTAATGTTTAAAATTCCATTTTTAAAAAAGCTTTAAGAAGATATTATTTCTACTGAGAACTGCAGCTAGAGTCTTTGCTTTCTTGTCTGGTCCCCCTGATTATGGAGCTGGACAATTGGACACAAGACGATATGGTGAGCAATATGCAAGCAAGGGAGAGGATGCAGATCGTGCTTTACTCCCAGAGCAGACACCCTTCTATAAAGATCTGGTATTTAACTTATGTTCTTGTTACTCCTGTTACTCATTTTTGAGAAGTGGAAGAATTGACATGTGTATTACAGGCTGCTGTTGCTGTTCAAGCAGGTGTATGTGTTGACATATTTGCTGTAACAAATGAGTACACTGATTTGGCATCCTTAAAGTTTCTGAGTATAGAAAGTGGGGGTTCCTTATTTTTATACACAAGTACCGAGGACTCAACATTGCCTCAGGACATGTAAGTCTCATGCTTTTACATAATATCCTGAGACTTGCTTTACCAGTAAAATAGAGATCAGTAAGAGATGGTTGTTCAGTATTTGTTGATTGGTTGTGTCTGCGTCTTCTACACAACCTCAACTTGAGATGGTATTATATAGCACTTTTCTCCTAATCACAGTAGATTTTAATTAAACAAATATATTTAAGTGATAAACATGAACTCTAATTTGGTAACTGAATTTTGGATGTAGTTGAAATCACAAGTGCTAATAGTAGCACCTTACCTATCAATGATATTTTTGTACACACTTTCTCATATATCACATTAGGTGACTTTTGTGATCTGTCCTCTTTGCAGGTATCGAATGTTGAGTCGGCCATATGCTTTTGGTTGTGTCCTGCGGTTAAGAACCTCAACTGAATTTAAACCTGGAAATTCTGTAAGTGTGTTGTATGGAATGGACTTTAATTCACAATTTCGTATGTACTTATTATAGTATGTAGAATAATTTGTTATTTTATTGCAGTATGGTCACTTCTTTCCAGATCCACAGTATGAAAACGTTCAACACATCATATGTTGTGATTCTTATGCTACATATGCTTACGACTTTGTGTTTGAGAACAACATTGGATTTTCCAGGTATAAAGCACTACTGGTTACAACCAAGTCTTACAAGCTTTAATGCTTATACATTTTTTAATGTGTTTATATAAGTGAAGTTAATTAAGAAGCTGTAAATTTCATGTTAAGCCTTGTACTTGTGTTATTTAGATTTGATACTTTTTATCACTAGCAATCCACATAATAAACTCCAAGTTCATTAGTTACTCCATCAATTTCCAAGTCTTTTGTTTGTCATTTTGTTTAATGGAAACATGGAAGCAGTTCATTGTTTGTGCATAAAGCTTTAACTCCAGTCTTTAGGATATTTATTTTTTGTGTTTGAGTTTTGATGAAGTAACTTATAACGTATTAGGCACAATCTGATCTTAGCTGTTGAAATCATCTTTCTATTTATATGTGCAGCTTTTGCTAGACAATCATGTGATTTTCATTGCTTGCGATCCAAGTTTCTAGAGTACCTTGTTGGCAAATGCTTACTTTATCCTCTGCTGTTTTAGTCTTTTTTATGCGCTAAAGTGCTGAACTTGAATTACATATTTCTTGCTAGAGAAAAATAATCTGCCGTTTGTACTCAATCAAACACAAATATTACAATTATTTCTGTTAGAATAAATTAAAATATAACTATCTGATAACTTGGATTATCTTCTATAATTAGTTTCCCTTTTATTAATTACTATATTTCCTTTATCATGTTTTACTTCACTAATTAGTTAGGATTGGGATAGGTTTATAAGGATTAGTACTTCAGGGTTGATGAACATATCAAACATATCAACACATTGTAATACATTTAAGTTAATATCATTTTAGTATTTCATTCTTTATTATCTCTCTATCCCCTCTTCTCCTAAATGGTAAAACCCCATAAGTTCACTATGTTATCAGAACAGTACTATCCGCCATGACATGTCTTGTTACTACTTTATTGTCAAGCTGCCTAAAATTTGGACTTATAATTTAATTTCCTAATTCATCCTTCAAATCAATCATATCATGTTGTGTCAACCCTTTATTATCATTTTATGTTTCACTCCCTTCTACTATATATATTTCTTGTTGGTGTGAAAACGGAAATGGGAGTTATCCTATTAAGATTGGAAGATGGGTTAATATAACTTAGAATTCCATGAAGTTTTCTCAATTAGGGGTGTCAAAATAAGCTTAGTCCAATGGATCTACCTGAAATACAGGCTAGGCTAGGCTATGCTACGCTAACAAATTTGTAGCTTAAATTGAATTAGGTCTACTTTGGCCCGACCCGTTTAGATCATGGTCTATATGAACTTAGGTCGAGCTAACTTGTAGGTTTATGAGTCCGATCTGTTTTATAGAATAATAATAATTTTAAAATAAAAATAACAATAATATTAATTTATTTATATATATATATATATATATATATACATTATAAATTAATTTGATAAGATATTTACTTATTCTAAGAGTAAGGATAAGAATAAGTCTTTAATATCTACTCATTTCATAATCTAATGATTAAGATGAATTATTATTTTAAATCAATAAAATACTAAAAAAATGAATGATGATAATGAAGAGTCATTTTTTAACTTTTATTTTGGGATTAAATGGATATCTTCTCTTATAATTTATATATTAAATCATTATATTTTGAAATACAAATTAATTTAATTAATATAATTGAATTTTTTTAAATATATTTTTAATTTTTATTTAATATATATTTTTAAATTTTCAATCATGTCGAAATTGATCCTTAGCTTATTCACTATAAACTCAGGTTAGACAATAAATTATAGTTGGTTTAAAAATATAGGACTAGATCGGACTATTAAATTTTTTAACTTGGCTTATAGGGTCGGGATTGGCTGGGCCAACCTGTTTTGACAACTCTACTCTCAGTAGAAAACTTAATTTTCATTCAAATTTCATATATCTCTCCCATTGCATTACAATTAACCTATTTATAGGCTAAATTCTTGTGTCACTCTAGACAATCATAATAATGCCCACTAAGTTGCTAATTAATTCCCATTAAGTAGTCTTAAATATCCACTAACAATTAAATCTCCCTATGTGCTCTTCAATTTCCACTAGCGATGAACTCCCACTAGTTATTGCTTTTAATTTCCACTATAAGCATCATTAATTTCCACCATTGGAATATGAATGATCATCTTCTCTTGTGATAGTCAGCTCACTTAATTAACAAAAACAATAAAAACTACAAAGAAAAACTTAAAATTATATTGATCATTCCTCCTTCTTCAAGGGCATTTGTCCTTGAATGTCATGAGTACATTTCCTTCAAGAGAAACAAAAGTTAAGTCAATACCAATATAAAAAATCATCCTTTTATTAGTTTTCCATTCAAGAACTGAAAATCCTGCATACATCATTGGTTGAGTGATACTAGATGACAAGTTGTTGAGATGTCTCATGGAAAACTCTTCCTTATGCTTTTGAATAAAACAATAATATTTGCACAATAAAAAGATATATATGTATAATTATTACCTTTCTCTTTCTTCTATATTTTTGTTACTTTGCCAGAGACATCAACCTGCCTTTGTGGCTTTCCGTGAGTTGAGATATCAGCTTGGTCCCCCATATCTCAGAGAATCTTTCTAATCACTTTAATCTACTGTCTCAACTCTCAAATTATATGTTTGATTTATTTTATTTAAAGGGTTTGTTAGTAAGGATAAGGGAGAGTTTTAAAATATAAGAAAATATCCAAAAATATATCATCTTGTCATAACCTAGATTAACCCTCTAGGATTAATATCTCTATTTCCTTATTATCTCTTTAAGATTAATTACCATATTACCTTATCTTATTATGATTTATTTATCAAATTGATTATAATTATGATTAGCATATGAAAAGGGTTAGTACTTTATTTTTTATGAACATCAACACATATGGAAAACATCTAATTTAATGCCAATTTAGTGTTTCATTATCCTTAATCTCTCTTCCTCCCTCTATACCTAAAACCCCATAATTCCAACAATCTCAGAGATCATAATGACAAAACTGTTAATAAGATAATTTACTTTAGATTTCTCTTAAACAAGGAAATCCCAGAGTTTGATAGGCATGCAAGAGCTGGGAGAAGGGAGAAAAAGATCAAACCGCCAGATATTTGGCCTAGAACTATGGTATATTTCCTCAAGCATCAAATAAACTTTCCTCAACTTACAAAAAAAATGCGTGCTCTTTGACTATGGGGTTTAGATAATATAAATAAAATATTCTTGATGAATGCAAAACAATTTCGAAACTAAGAGTATTGAATTAATTTTGGTATTAAATACCATAACTTCTATTATTTGATAAAACTTCTGTAACAAGATAGCTGTGCCCTTTTGTCTGATACATTTCCTGTTCTGATAATCTGATTAAGGTTCCTTGTTACTTTTTTTTTTTTTGACAGAAATAAATCAGATGTTCCTACAATTCAGATTGCATTTCAGTACTCAGTTGTTGTTCCTCCTCAGGAACTTTCTAATTCAGAAGAGACTTCTACAAATAGGTATGGTAATAAGCAGAAAACAAACATTAGATTGCTTGTATTCATGTTCTTCTGTTGTTGATGTATGGATGTTTTCAATATGTCTACGGTAGGTGAAGACCAATTCATTCATTTGAACAGGTTGATTATTTTTTTATTAAGTTCTACCAATTTTTCATGAACGGGCACAAACTTTGTCTCTTCCAAAGTTGATAGCTTCTTCCTTGACCCTGACTTTTATTATGTCAGTGAAGCTTCTTTATTCTCTGATTTCAAATTCCGACATATCCATGCTGGGTTTTAATATAGTCCTAGACATATTTTCATGGAAGATGGTCTTGATGTCTAGAAGCTCTTAGAGCTGAACAGAAATTATTGATTGATTTTTGTACCACTTTTTTCTGCCATCTTGTAGAAGTGTCATCATCTGTTGGTTTTACCATTCATGAAACCTTGTTTATTTTTTTCTAGGTTTTGTTCAGGTTTTAGCCCCCAAAATTTTAACTTTTAAGCATCAGTTGCTTTGGTAATTTATTTTACAAAATTCCCTGTACCCTGATTTTACAAATGATATTTACTTAATCTTTTTTGGTAAATGAGTGGAAAATTAGGTGGAAAAGCACTAAAATGAATTATTTTTTTGACAAAGCCAGGGACTAAAGTAAAGATTTTGTGAAGTCAGGAACTAAAGTGGTTGATGCTTACATTGTCAAGAACTAGGACGGGAGTTTACTTGTTTTTGTTTAATCTCAATTATAATTTATCCATCAAAAGGTGAACAACATAAGCATGAGTATGACGGTTTTAAATTCCTTTTTGAACATATGACGCAAGTTTTTAATTAATATTTCAGCTTAAATTTTGGGGACTGTATTTTTTTTGTCTCACCTTAGGGACCCAACATTGGCTGGAGAAGATGGTTGTCATGAAATTCTTTACATAATTTTCTAATAAATGTTTTCAGTAGCAGCATCTCTAAATGCATTATATTTCTTTCCTTCTGCCTGCTACTCTTTGCTTATGACTCGCTCTATAGTGTATCTTTATCAATTATGTGATATCTCAGGCTGCATTGGTGCATTTGAAAATTTATATTCCGAGTAAAGGCTATCAGTGTTTTACATTCTTAAAATTGCTGTTGTTAATCTGAGAACAATATGTGATCATGAAGTTAATGGCTAGAGCTGAATTTTGCAATAGTTCTCTTGTTCTGTATTCGAAGTGTTGGTTGGGGTTTGTTTTGTTCTGTAAAAACTGCTTTTTGGAATATAATTTGTATTTCATTGTCGGATTTTTGTTTGGATATAATCCTGAGTCCCTTATTTTCTTGATAATCATGCTAAAAGATTTTAAGTTCTTCCGACATCCAAAAATTACGTATTTATGGAATGAAGGATTTTGGGGCTCAGTTTGTTGTGCTGACTATATTTATACAGAACCAAGCATTCCCTTCAGCGTAGGCTAAGGATCCGAACATTGCAATATGGTGTTGCTCAGAGCTTTCGTGAACTTTGTGATAGTTGTGATCCTGAAGTTGTTCTCTCTCTCCTGGTTCACAAGGTGAGTTAATGAATTGACCAAACTTCTATGCCATTTGGATTGATGTTTGTTTTCAGTCTCATTATTCTATATTTGGTATGCTTCTTCACTTTTATGTTTGTTTTAGTTTTATAAACTGTTATTACTGATATTAATTACTACAATGTCTTACCTTTTACATTTTGTTTCTTAATGTATTACTTTTCTGTTGTGTTTCTTCAGCTTATTTTATTTTATTTTATTTTTTTGTATTAACTTACTCTGCAGGTTATATTAGCCTCTTTGGAGGAAGGAGTTAGGGAGGGTCGAATTTTACTTCAAGAATGGCTAGTGATGCTCACAGCTCAGTACAATGATGGATATGAGCTTATTCAGTATAGCGATGGAGGTTCCATAAGATCTCAGATTGATGTTGCATTGTCTCAATGTCCTCAACTACAGCCCCTACCGCGCCTAATTTTTGCTCTCCTTCGAAGTCCTCTTCTCCGGTTTCATGAAGAAGGGGTTCATCCCGACTACCGCATCTATCTTCAATGCCTTTTCAGGTAATTGCTGCTCTTAGGTTTATTAGTGCTATGGAGTTTGCATAATCATCCCATCACTGTCTCGTGAAAGGAGTTAAACATACTAATGTAAAGCTCAATGCTTTTTTCTTTTTTGACAGAGAAAGCTTACTGAACTTGAATCCAAGATTACTTGCATAATTAACGGACAATATATTTTAGAATTTGCTAGCATTCCCTACACATCAGCATTAAATGGAAAGTAGTAGCATTTAATAGAGAAAAATAGTATGGCAAATCTTTTATATCTGGTTACAATATGTTACAAGAAAGCACACATTACTTTAATGTATAATAAAATCATATTCATCATGGATTTTAGAAGCAAGAGAATGTGTATTGGACATTGAAATAAAAGTTCTCTGGTTATTTCCCTGTTTGTACCGTATCATGCTCAACAAGAACATAGGTGTGGAATCTGTTTGCTAGGTTAAGCTGAGAACTTGAGATGGGCGAAATTAGAATACTTTTCACAAAAAATTGACTATGCAAAACTTAGTACCTTCAATGAATGATAAGGGTATGCGAATTGGGAGGTTAGTTGGGTAAATAATTAATATAGATGCAAAGCTTCAGCAACGTGGTCTCATCTGTATTGTATTTCTAGCTTTGGATTTATATGTTCAAGAATTAATTGTGTTCATTTTCATTTGTTTTGTAGCATGTTGGAACCCAGTTCCCTTCATCGTGCTGTGTATCCTGTGATGACATCATATGCTACCCCAGATAAACAAGCATATCCTCGCCATTCATTGAGTCGTGCCGCACTGATTACCAGCGGCAGTCCGATATTTTTCCTTGATGCATTCACAATTTTGATTGTGTTCTACTCTTCAACTGCAGACCCGACAATTCCTTTTCCTCCACCCCATGATTGTAAGCCTTTTTTCATTTTACCTTCTGTCCTCACTGCATTAGATATAACGTTCTTCTGCCTAAATTTATGCAAAATACCCTGTCAGGTTTGTTAAGGACTACAATCAACAAATTGAAGCAAGATAGATGCATCACTCCCAAACTCATTTTCATTCGAGGCGGACATGATGATGCGTCAATTTTTGAGAACTTTCTGATCGAAGAGCAGGATGTTGATGGAAGTGGTCTTACCAGTGTGATGGGTTTTGTTTCCTTCCTAGAAGATATTAGACAAAAAGTTCTGGAGTTCATGAAATAAGGATCCCTTTGGGGTCCAATATCTACTTATAGATACAGGACTTCTATACATTGTAGGTGCTTCCATTTTGTGAGGATGGGTTCTACTTCGTTAAAAACCGACCATGGAGTCAAGTTGGTGGTTGGTTGTCTTTGTTGTACCTGTTTTATATTATCATTCATACCCTTTTTGAAGTGCAGTCAGTGTACATTATAATACTATCATTTTTTTTTGTAAAAACCCTTTCTTCTGTCTGTGTGGAGTTACAGCTGACTCAGCCAAAAAAAAAAAGTTAGCGCTGATTTTAGTCTTTATTGACACTGACTAATATTCTAAATTTACGTTAATGTGAGAAATGGATTATATTAATAATCTACCGTGTTGGAATTTGGATATAAAGTGAATAATTATCCACGAAGTTGTTCTTGAGTCCTTCTTCTAGGATAAATGGCGGACAATTGTCCTTTGGTTGCAACTTATATTTTAGGGGACAATTTATCGGCAAATAGTTATTCTTAGTGCGATCAAAATCCAACTAGTTTAAAATGAAAATAGAAAATCGATAAAAAAAATTTAAAATTTAATTAAAATTGATTTTTTTTTTGGATTGAAAATTTTTAAAATCAATTAATTTGGGGTTTGACCCTCAGACTAGTTTGTTTATAATTTAGAACATCTATTGTTATTTTTTAAATGGAAAGTGAAAATAAATTAAAATTATGAATATCATTTATTATACATGATTTTTTATAATATATTTTTTTATTAAATACTTATTTTATTATAATATGTTTAATAATTTTATAATAAAAATAATAACAAAAACGGTTCAAATCAGATTAATTTAGTTTGGTTTGAATTTTTTTTTAGAAAAAATGAAAAACTTAACTAAACTAAACTGTATTTAAATTTTATATTTGATTTGAGTTATTGCACTTTGAATATCCCTAATTATTTTGCAACTGTGCAACTGTGTTGCAATTGTGTTTGTTTATGAAAGTTCCAAGATTTTGAATCAAATGATATTCTAGTAAGGTTTCATTTGCTTTATTTTTATACTGTGTTCTTTCTCTTTACCTTTGGCTTAACTCATTTAATATATTTCTTTTTACCTTTGCATAACTCATTTAATATATATAATTGTTTAATTTAGGAATCAGAATATTTAATATATTTATAATTATTACTTTAAAAATAAGAATATTTTAATTTAATAATATCTTTAAGGTTCATTGTTTATTTGAGATATGATTCACTTTATACTTCTAATCTGTCATGTTTTATTTTTAAAATGAGTCTTAGTAAATTGAAAGAGGATATTGTATATAAATTATTTTTAACTTTAATTCTTAAACAATGTGACATTTATAATTACAAGTGTATTGGAATATTGTCCTAATTGAGAATTAAAAATAGGATTGAAACGAGATTCCATTTTTGGTCAACTAAACTTTCTATAATTCCTTTTAAGTACATTGTACCCAAAGAAAAAAAAAACTTGCAAAAGATTTTCGATGAGTTAGTCAATATTAAAAGTAAATGAATAATTGAATAATCTTTCCTAATAAAAAGAAATACAAACATTTTTGTAAAAAATTACGTGAGTATAACTGTACGAGAAAATAAAGATATTTATACATATTTTATTGGATCATGACCAAAATATCTTGGACTACACCAAACATCTTATATTATTGTCACATATTTTGGCTAGATGTGGATTAGATAAATATAAAAATATTTATTATTATTTCATTCTATCATCATGGAATATTACCAAATATAGCGTACAAGTCAAATATCTAGATTAGATAAATATAAAAATATTTATTACTATTTCATTCCATCATCAATTAATATATGGAAAATTACCAAATATAGAGTACAAGACTATATCAAATATCTCAATTATATTAAATATAATATTATTTTTTAATTTTTTTTTAAATACAATAAAAACTAAATATTAATATATAGATGATAATCATTATAATAAAAACGATATAATAATATCAATAGAAATAATAAAATGATAATAATGATCACATAAATAATAAAAATGATAATAATTATTGTAAAAAAATATTATTAATAATAAAAAAATTAACGTAATAATTACCATAATAAAAAAGTAAAAAAAATATTATAAATAGTGAAAATAGTTAATAATAATAATAATTATTATTATTATTATTATTGAAAATACTTGTTAACTCAACTTTTTATATTAACAAAATAAAATTGATTAATATTATAAAAATAATTCTATTTTATTGCAGTACCAAATAATTAATTTAAATAAATTAAATATGATATGATAGTTTTGATATTTTATATTATATTTTTGAGTATCAAACAAAATCTTTAATGATGAAAATTTTGTTATATAATAATTTAAAATATAATTTACTTTGTGATAAAAAAATCATACACCATACTGTTTTTATTTTAATCTTATTAATATAGTAACAAGTTTTCTCGAACTTAATAAGTGATTCATGACCAAACTTAGATATACTAAATCATCACTTTAATATATATATATATATATATATATATATATATATATATATATATATTCATCACAACATTCTAGTGGTTCATCGTTTATTGAATTTCGGAAACTACTTTGCTTTTTAATTTCGGTGGCACCACTTTCTTAAAATCCTTTTCAAAACATTTATAAAAAATTTCTATATTCAAACGTTACTCCGTCATAGACTGACATAAAATAAAAAGTATTATTAACTATTAAATAAACAATTAATTAATGGTATATTTTTTTTGAAGAAAAATTACATTGAGACAAGTTCATGAAATAAATAAAAGAGAGAAAGTTTTAAAGAATTGTAAATAACTAAATGATCAAAATAAATTGGAAAAGAATAAATAATTAGGTTTAAAAATTTCGTAATAATAATGTATTCAATAAATTTATAGTGAAAAATGGAAACCATATAAAATATAATTAAGATATAATATAAAGATCGAAAAATATTATTAGTGCATAAACTAATAAACCAATAGATTAAATAATACATATCTTTTATTTGGTTGACCTTTAAAAATCCAAAGGTCCCATTTACGATAATACCCTTATAAATTGTATTAAGACGTGTGCTCCGTTTTTTGAAGCCTTTGGACAGAAAGAAAATCGGAAACGGTTTGTCGCAAACCGTAATTTCGACAAACAAGAAAAATCCAAAACTCTAATTAACGGCGCCACCACAGTTCCCGTTTTGCAAACATCACTGACAGAAAACTCTCTAGGGTTCGTTTTTCGATTCTATCCAATTTAAAAGCTCTTGTCCGAAGTTTGCACTAATTTCGTTTTCGCACCCTAAATTTTCGATCAATTTCGACAACGTTGTGCTCCCATTTCGACAGCTTACCTTAAGGTACTTTCCTTTCTCTCTCGCTCTGAAATTCTAGCGGATGCATGTTGGAGAGAGAGGTTTTATTATTATTTTGTAAATATTTTTGTTATTATATTTTATTTGAATTTCTGTGAAATTTGATGTGTTGTGGTTAAGGTTGCATTAGCGATTAACTGGTAGAAGTGTGTAATTGAAACCCTATCTTAGTACGTATCTGTAAATTTGTGGCAGGAAGGGGCACTACGTTTTGTTTGGAAACTGCTATTATTTTTCTGAGATTGGACACTTCATGATTCTCCTTTTTGTTCTGTTCTGCCTTCTCGTTCCTTTGATGCCTAATTTATTGTTCATCACCTTGCATTTGAGTGGAAAATTTTCATTTTTACATTTCATGTTGTTCCTGTAAATCTGGATTTTCGTTGCCCCTCGTTTGGCTTTATGTAACATTAGAGCTTGTCTCGCCAACATGCCAATTGTACTCGTTTCCTTTCGTCGCCTTCGTTAGTCTCTTTTTATTGTTATTGGACTTTTTGTCGATGCTGATAATTATGTTATCATTGTCCCTTTAATAAAAGTCTTTCGCGTTGTGGCCGTTTAAGTCTTGTGACTCTTGTCTCATTGCACGGCTTCCACTGAGATTCATTCGTTGCAACCCCTTGTTTGGCCTTTCTTTTTGTTTCCTCCTTTCGATATGTGTATACTTCTTCCCAGGAATTCTTCTGGCCTCTGTGCCTTCTTCACAGTTGCCTCACCAGCTTGTTTCATTAGTTTCATAAGATGCCTCGAGGAAAAGCAAATTCTTCATCAGCAGCTAAGCCATCTGAGCCTGAGAAGCCAGTTGAATCTGATGAGAAGGTTGATTTTGAGGAGGAAAATGATCCGGAGGGAGCAATGGAAGAAGAAATTGAATATGAAGAAGTAGAAGAAGAAGTGGAAGTGGAAGAGATAGAAGAGGAGGTGGAAGAAGAGGAGGAGGAGAACCCGGAGGAGGTAGAGGTAGAAGAAGAGGAAGAGGAGGAGGAGGATGAGGAAGAAGAGGAAGAAGAAGAGGAAGAAGAAGTGGAAGAAGATGAAGCCATACAAAACCATAGCAGTGACGAAGCAAAGTTGGAAGACGAGTATGAGAAGAAAAAACATGCTGAACTCCTTTCTCTTCCTCCTCATGGGTCTGAAGTATACATTGGTGGCATACCATATGATGTCTCAATTGAGGATTTGAAATCTTTTTGTGAGCGTATTGGGGAAGTTGCAGAGGTAAGTTTGTGATATTGTTGGTGTATTGTGCTTATGCATGTATACAATGTCATCCACTAACTTCAATTTTGAGGAAAACAGGTTCGAGTAATGAAAGGAAAGCATTCCATTGAGAACAAGGGATTTAGTTTTGTGACCTTTAGAAGCGTGGAATTGGCTTCTAAAGCCATTGAGGAGCTGAATAATACAGAATTTAAGGTAATATGTTAATCCCAGTCATTATGTATTCATAACTGATACTCCTTATAAGTTGGTGGCTTTATTATTGCTACTCTTGTATTACAAACATTGCAGATGCTTTATGAAGAGATTCTAACCGTAATTTGGTACATGTTTGATTCCTAACTATGTTAATGATCAATTTTTTAAGGGTAAAAAAATAAAATGTTCTACAACGCAAGCCAAACACCGTCTTTTTATTGGGAATGTTCCTAGAGGCTGGGGTGTTGAAGATCTGAGGAAGATTGTAACTGAGATTGGACCCGGAGTTACCGGTGTGGAACTAGTCAAGGTATGAATTTTTCTGTTATGCTGTGCTTTCCATTTCCACAGTAAATTGTAAGTGTTCATGGATTTTTGTTATAGTCATGCCAAATCATCATAGCATGCTTTGCAACTGCATGTACACAAGAGTTAGAATTGTAGTTTTCTTATTTAAATGCTCTTATATTTCTGTTTGTTCAATTCTTTGTTTCAGGATATGAAGAACACCAACAACAACCGGGGCTTTGCTTTTATTGACTATTATAATAATGCATGTGCTGAGTATTCTAAACTAAAGATGATGAGCCCAACATTTAAGCTAGGTGAGAATGCTCCAACAGTGAGCTGGGCTGATCCTAAAAATGCTGATTCTTCTGCTGCATCTCAGGTTTTGGCTCACATATATTCCCTATCTTTAGCTCTGTTGATAATTGATAGTTATGGTTAAAGTTATAAGAAACTTTTTAGGTGGCTTATCCAGTACGCAGGTTAGCTTTTTGGTGTACCAGTACATTATGCGAATCCCTTGGAGGAGAATTTTTCATATTCCCAAATATTCAATAAAATTTATTCAATTTTTTATATTATTATCAATTTCATTTTCCATTTCTTGGTTAATGAAAAACTATTTTACATTGTGGGAGGCGGAAATTAAGGTTTTTTTATTGGGAAAGAAATGGAAGATAAAATGGTGTTCTTAAAGGTGGCAGCGATTGGGACAACAGCCACCTTTTAATAGGAACTGATAATAACTGGTATGAGAAGTCGTTTGCTGTTAGATGCTAGTTTATTATTAACTGTCATGTTGGCAGTTATGGGTAGAAAGTACAAGTAATAGTGTGTTATTGGAATATGTAATAGAAAATAACTCATCCTGATTTGGTGTAGTAGAATTAGATAATACCCTACCATGATGATAGTTATACAGAATAACTGATGGAAGTTATGTTGTAGTAGTGGTGTGTAATTTGGAAAGAAGAGAAGGGTTGTTGGAATTCAAGAAACAACCATTAGAGCCAGATAACAAAAATAAAGAATAAGGTTAAATGATCAAGGCCCACAACCATTGTTGTAGGGAAAGTAACAAAAACAGTGAAGCAAATTCAGTGAGAGAAACAGATACTGAAATAGTTAAGATACAGGAAAATGTAGGTCAACCATTGGGAAGGGAGTAAAAGAGTGAAAATTTTTGGTTAAAGAAATCATCATCAACAGAAAATGGAGGGAACCATCCCTACTGGCTGTGCAATGGTGGTCCTTGCAGATAGCATGCAACAGTGAATCAGAGGTTTGGGTTTCATGCTGTCTGGTCAACTCACCACTGACAACCATCAGACTGACTTGGATTGACCATGCAAGAGGATCAACGCTGGGTGATATTTGGATCTCATTTATGCTGTTGAATCTTCCTCTGCCAGAAGTACCAGCATCTTCAACAGGAAGAGAGTAATTTGACTGAGACACTGCGTGAGATGAGTTTTTGGCTTTAGGAACTTGGTAGCAGAATAGTGATAGATTAAAGTCATCAATAATCTTACTGCTTTTATAAGCTTTTTGAAAAAAGAGTAATTTTGTTTCGGGGAGAAACATTTTTTTTTGGCTCAGTGCTGCTTTCTTTATATCGTGGGCGCATTGAATAATAAGTAGAGAACTAATCAAGGACTAGTTACAGAACTAATTAACAGCTACTCACTACTTTGAAACTTTAGTTGACTAATCCTAACATGAGCTAATTATGCTAATGTATGTTGAAACATTGTGTTCGGGTTACAGGAGCTGTGTCTATATTATAACTTAGTCCATTTAATACAGGAGCTCATACATAGCTATTAAGTGCTAATTACAGTACTATAGTCATTGTCATATTCTATCATACGCCATATGCTATTGAATCTTAACTACTATGTTGTTGAATATGGACTATATATCAACAGTTTCTATCCTAGATGCATTGCTCTGTAAACAAAGCATTGAATACAGTTGCACATGGGTGAGCAGGTGAAGGCAGTATATGTGAAGAACCTGCCAAAGAATGTGACTCAAGAGGAGTTGAAGAAGCTTTTCGAACGTCATGGGAAGATAACAAAGGTGGTTCTTCCACCAGCTAAGTTTGGACAGGAAAAGAACAGAATTGGCTTTGTACATTTTGCAGAGAGGTCAAATGCCATGAAAGCACTGAAAAACACTGAAAGATATGAATTAGAAGGTAGCATATTGTCCAACCTTTAGTGATTATTTTGTTAATTTTTGTCAATATTAATTAGCTTTGTTCTATGTTTCAGGCCAAATTTTAGAGTGCTCTCTGGCAAAGCCACAGTCTGATCAAAAGTCTGGAGGATCAAATACACAGAAGCCGGGACCAGGATTGCTTCCTAGCTATCCACCACATGCCGGTTATGGTTTGGTTGGGGGTGCCTATGGTGCACTTGGTTCAGGATATCCCGCTCCTGGTCTTACACAGGTGACATTTTTGCATTTTTTTTTCCATTAGATATCTTTAGCTTGTTTCCAGATCCAACATTCTATTATGTATGTATTTTGTGCTAACTGAAATCATTATATTGATGCTAAATAATGGCATTAGAGAGCTACTAACTTCTATAGAATCTAAATCCATAACGCATTGCATTTGAACATGTTTAATATATTTTAAATTTAATTAGAAATCATGCATATTAGACTAAGGAGTATATGCTACAGGAAGTGTTAAGGTGCTCTCTACTATATATGTGCTCTTGATATCACATCCACTATATATTATCTGAGATTCTGATGGCCGGAGTTGTATCTGTTGCAGCCCTTGCTATATGGAGGAGCTCAAGCTCCCGCTGGAATGGCCATGATGCCCATGCTTTTGGCTGATGGACGAATTGGATATGTCTTGTAAGTTGAACTGTTGCTCTAAACGTATTTAGCTTGTTATATCATGACATTTGGTAGATTGGATAATGTTATAACTTGCAATGATGTTTTGTATGGAATTCCAATGGCAAAATTCGACACTTAGTTGCCTGAGAATTTATTTTATTATGCAGGCAACAGCCAGGAGTGCCGCCACATGCCCCATCCTCACATCAAAGAGGTGGCCGGAGCAGTGGCAGTGGTGATGGCAACAGGAATGCCAGCAGTTTTAGTAAGGGAAGGCACAACAATGACGGTAGTCAAGGGCGCAGATACCGCCCATATTAGCCGGTCTTGATATATAGACAGTAGCACGCACTTCTCTCAAATGTACTTGGGCCTTAACAAGCTCATTTATTGCATCAATTTGTGCTACAGATTTTTTAATTAAAAATTTATTCAGTGTAGATTAAGTCTTGATGTGAAGTCGTTTTATGTGTAAGTTGAATTCTTCCTATGTTTATAATTAATTAGTTTTATACTCTAGACTCTTTATAACGAAAAAAAAAAAAACTCGTGCAGTCCTCTGTATCATAGTAAGAGTAAAAACCAATGGTATTCAATTACTGCCAGCATTATTGTTACCAGCCCATTCATATAATTTTCCATGGATTTATACTTTTAATTTACGCTTATATGAAGCCATTGTATTTAAAATGCAAAACTATTACTATTAAAATTATGTATAAAGCTTAGTAATTGGTGTAACCTTGAATGATTTATGTTTGAACTCACCGATCATGGCTATGAGTGTATCTGGATATTGAAAATACTACCATAAATAAAGTTGTTCACGTAAAATAAAGAAAATGAAGGCAAAGTTAATTAACAACTCAAGAATTGTAGGTGCGAGAAAAAACATTAGAGTTCGTGAAAGAAATACATATTTGAAGGACTCCGTTACTTCCTATTACTACATTACCACCAACTAGACATAAGCTTAGATGTAGCCTTCGAAGGAGAAAAGATGACAATTCTTTTCTTTCAATCTGAAGAGAACTCCACCTTTTTTTGTGATTGACATACCTAAACAAGTTGATCCTAGTAATATTGTTATTGATTCTGCTATTGATGATCATCATTCATCCTTGAATGCTCTTAAGGGAGGATTAGGGGTTGGCATATATTGATGGGGTAGCTCATATTTTTTTGCACCCACGGAAAGCTAAGTTTTGTAAATTACCTATTGAATGAACATTTAATACCAATAGTTGAAGTTTCAACATTGTTGGTAGAAAAGGAAATATCCTACTTAGTAAGACTTCACTACCTTTTTATAAAATACAGATATTTTAATTTGTTCCATGTATTTATGTCCAATATTTTCCTGATATTTTTTTATTAATACTTATTAATGAAATATATAAATTTACGAACTATCATTATTTTTATTTGTGTTATATATACTATTTTTATATGTGTAAGTTTTTAAAACATTTATCTCCTATAAATGTTTTTTCCATATATAAATAATAGAAAATATTTTATAATGACAATGATTTATATTTTTCATCTTCAAAATATCTAAGAAATGTGGATTTGCATAATTATATTTTTATATTTATTATGTTTTTTTTTTCTAAAATAGATGTATCATTGAATTGGACATGTATTAGTGTAAACATGGATCATAGGGCCTCTTACATTGGTATCAATTGCAAGCTAGATTTTGTAAATGCAGCGTGATGTTAGAAGTTTTGTGAGACAATGCAATATTAGTCAGCAAGTCAAGTTGATCAAACATTATCAACAGGCCTTCTGCACCCTTTGCCAATTCCTCAAAAATTTGGGAGGATATGCTATGAATTTCAACACTCATTTCCATAGTCAAGATTCATGGTTTTTCTAAGTCTATAGTTTCAGATAAAGACAAGACAAGGTTTTCACTGATTCGTTTCGACAGCAATCATTCAAGGCTGAAGGTATTAATAAAAAAATTAGAAATACGTTGAAAATCTAACACGAAATTTCATATTACCTTAAAAACGAAAAATTGAATTTATAAATAAGAAATACTTATAATTTAATATTTTAAGATGGTAGGTTGAAGATAATATCATTTTCATGTGCTTGATCTATGTATCGTATATTAGAATTCTTTGATTTATCAAGTGACCAGTTATATTGACTACAATATAAAGTACATAAAATTTTCTTAATAAAAATTTTAGGTATACGAGTCCCTTAAATTGAATAATGGTACAATTAAGATTATTATTAGATATTCGTAATTAATATGTTAACCCCTTGCAAATACTTGTCAGAACGTACTTGCGATATATCATTTAATCGGTGCGTAATGATGACTCCTTTCAAAGCTATGGTCAACAGAAATCCACCTTCTATTATCTGTTATGAGAATCATGTCAAAGATCCCTCGTCTGTGCAGGAAACCTTAATCGCTAGAGATACATTATTACAGCAATCATAGTTAGCCAAAGCTCAAAACTATATGAATCAACAAGCTTACAAGAAAAGGTGTAATTTTCATTTAGATGTGTGAGACTGTGCAACTCGTCAAGCTTCAACCTCAGACAACATTCAATTGTGTTGCGAAAGAATCAAAAGCTTGGTATGAGGCATTTTGGTCCCTTCGAGGTGCTGGATTTGTCTCTGTAGCTTATAAATTGAAGTTACGAGGCATAACTCGCATCCATCCTCGTTTATGTAGGAGCTTACTGAACCTACTAAGGCTACTTGGGAAGACTTTGAGGCCATTAGACAATCTTATTCACTCTTCAACTTTGAGAATGAGATTAATTTTGATGAAAAGGATAGAGTAACATGTAGCACATAAAATAAAAAAATTGAAGACAAAGTTAGTTGCATCTAGCGGACACCTGTCTAACAATTCAAGAACTGCATGTGCGAGGAAAAGCATCAGATTACATAAGAGCAGCACATATTTGAAGGATTATGCAGAATAAGGATTATGCAGAATAATACAAGAAGATTATGATATTGGTGGCATAATCTTCTCCTGAATCTTTTTTTCCTCTATGTTATTCTTCTCTTCTCCGGACTCACTTCTTTATCAGCTGAGATTGGTGGATGAGTTGAAAATTGTTTGTTATTATCAGCTTTTTTTCTGTTGAATTTTGATCTGAAATTTTGTAGTATTGGACAAATCCTATTATTTCAACCTGAGTAATAATTCAGTTCATTAAATCTACTACTGTTTCATTCAATCACTAACACACTTCTGGTGTTGGGGCAAATATTTATGCGTAGCCAAATATACTAACTCATTCCAAGGTAAGTGAGAGAGAAAGAATAGAAAATGAACAATTAATAACTAATCTTTACGTCATTTGTCGCAATAACTCGGTTAAAATTCAAACCTGATATGCAGTAAAGCTGCACAATACCAGTATATAATCTTGACGGAAATTGCTACTAACATTCTTGAACACATTACTTTAAATATTATTAATTAAACTTATTAAAAATCACAAAAATTATACATCTTATCTTATTTAAAGAATCTCATTTATAATTTACTTTTAAAAACATTGTATATAATAATAAAATGTATTACAAGTAAGCTTTTGAGACATCATCCTGCAATTTTGTGTAGACAGTTTTCTCCGTTCAACTTCATTGTTTCACCTATAGTGAAAGAATGCAACTCATAAATATTTAGTATCCTTTCTTACATAAAATGCTCCTCTAAGATCAGGATGTTGCCGGGGTGTTTTGCTGAAACAATCAAACAGCTACATTTACGACAATAACAGTGAGTAAGTAGCATCCAATTAAGGAGTCATGTACATTATCAGCAACATAACACAAAATTTAACGCTCTTGTTCAGTCATAACTAATGCAGTTGCCTTCATCCCTGTGAATAATTATTGGTCTCATTGGTCGTCCTCATCCTCACCCTCAACAGAACCCTCCCCTTTATCAGACGAGTCACTCTTATTGGAAGCCTCACCTTTATCAGATGACTCCGCTTTTAATTTCCTTTTCTTTCTCGGCTCATCTTCTTTTCCCTTTGACACTGCCACTTTCTTTCCAGCATTCTTCTTCCTAAACTCTGTTAAGCAATGAAAATAAAATGTCAAGGAAAGCAAGAAATACAGAAACACAGAAAATGATCTCTTCCAGAACAAACTGTCTGCCTAGTGCAAATGCTAGTCAAATCAAAACAATTTCATATATCAGGTATTTCCAATATAAAAGATAAATAGCAAATCTTATTAGACATTAGTAATGGAAAATATTACAAAGTATTGTCTTGTATGCTTAAAAAATGCACTCCCTCTCTTGGTCTACCACTATACATATGTACTTGTCTATGAATAAAATAACAGATCGTCCTGTAACTCTTCACATCTTTAAACCAAATATTTTCCACTACACTTTATATGATTAATAGCGTGTTTGGTTTGATGTTAAACATCTTGGATTCACATTTTGGATGTGAAAAAATTAAATTTATTCAAAATAGTAGCACTAAAATTACAGATATTTAGGTTCCACTTCATATCTTTAAACCAAATATCTTCCACTAGACTACCTAGCCGTACTTTTAGCACAACAGCAAAAAAACAAGTTATTAACAGGCCAGGGATCATATTTTGGCTGATGAAATAAAATAACTTCAGTGTCAACAAAAGAATCACAAACAAATTAAAATAAGAAGAATGTCCAAGTTGGAGATATAGTTGAGATCCACTCATCTATCTCTCACCCCGTATGCTTCCTCAATCCATGTATAGAGAGAAAAAGAACATATCAAGGGAGAGGATTTTCATAATGATAGACTGAAAGGAGTAAATCTTGACAGTTGAATCAAATCACCAAAGCTTAATGTTAACATACAAGGCATATGATGTTAAGTAGTCATATAATCATTAAACAAATTTCAATCCTAACAATGTATTAATGGATGGTTGTATAGTCTACTAATTTACTCCTCTCGGTGTCTCAATATCACAATTTTTCATGCTGACCTTTAGAACACGGTGCTCTCGCAGGAACTTAACAAGTCACTAAAGATAAATAAGAGCTAGTAGATTCTGAGATTTGGTGTGAACTAAATCATTATAAGTGACTGAAAGTAACCTACCTTCAAGGGAAGCTTTTAGAGGGCGAACAAACTCTGAGAACTCGGTTTCTTCAAGAGCTTTGAAAACATCCTCCGCACTGATAATCTGCCTCTTTGACTCCTTACATATGTCATTAGCCCTGCATACAACATGTCAAATCACATAACTTCACATACATGCATACCATTCCATAGAAATACTCCTCAATGTTCTGCTTCTTCTCTCTAAAAAAGTTTTCATTTTTACTTTCTTCCACTGTTCAATTTCATAGTCTATTATGCAAACATTCAATCCCAATTCTAACTTTACTGAGTATGAAAAAGGATTCAAACATCAAGATTAAGAATGCAAAATTAACTTGGGGAGTCAATGGCTTACGTGGCGGAAAGGTAGTGGATGAAGATCCTACCACTTTCCGAGAATGCGAGAAGGCTATCTTTGCTGACTGAAATTTCTCCATCTTCAGAGCATCGGGACAGCTTATCCTTCACGACGCGGCGTACGATAGACCGGGGCAGCTCCTCCGCCTCTGACATTCTCTTCTTTGATTCCGATTCCAAACTGAAAATTGGAATAAATTTAGGGTTAGGGTTTTGTAGTCATATCTCTTTTCCCGCCATTATCAAATTTTCTTTTTCAGTGCAACCCGCGTGCATTATTTTTATTTTTTACTGGTAAATTGATATAGCTATTAAAATTAAAATTTATATTTAATACACATACATATAAATAATACGATAAAATATCACAAAAATATTTTAGATCATTATGAAAGAAATAAATCAATAATTTATAAAATAATAATTAAAGCTTTCACTAAAGATATCATTTTTACATTGAATTTTGTTAATTACGAGAAATTAAAATATAAAATATTTCACTTTCAATTCTTAAAAAGGTGGAATCGAATATAAGAGGAATAACAAAATTATTAACATGTATTTGACATTAAACTACATTAAAAAAAAACACTTTTTAGGTGAAATATGTTATAAACACAAGATAAGTTAAGATTCTTGTTAGGTTACGATGAAATATTTAGAATATTTTTATAAATATTGTTATTAGTATTGTAATATTTTCAAAAATATTATATTTAAAATATTATATTTCAAATACAAGTTTCATTAGTATTGACAAAGCTATGCATGGGCACAGTTTTTTTTTAGATTATAAATTGAAAATTTTTCTATTATTGAAATTTAATAGCATTAGATAATTTAATATTAAAAATAAGAAAATATTATTTTAATAATATTAATTTTTGTGATTATTAAAATTTTATTATTTTAAAATGTTTAATTTTAACTATTTAAAAATTAAATAAAATAAAACTAAGATAATAATGTTTAAAAATTGTTACGTTAAAATTCAATATTTTAAAATTAAAATAAATAAAAAACTCAGTGTAAAATTAAACAACAATAACGCGAAGAATCAAAATACAAATTTAAAATTTAAAAGATAAATAATTAAAATAACTTGTTAGTATTTTATTGCATTGCACTGCTAACATGATAATTTAACTAAATAAAAGATTTATCTATTTTCATTTTTTTACTTGAATTATTTTATTCATAAACAGAATATTAACAAAATTTTAATTATATTTTTGTTTTTTAGATATCTTATTTAAAAAATTATATTTTATTTTTAAATCTGAAAATATTTTAATAAAACACTAAATTGAAGAATTAAAATAAATTTTTTAAAAAAATTTGGTGTTTAAATAATAAATTTTGAGAGATTAAAATAATTTATTTTTTAATTTGATAAACTAAATCGGCATTCTAAATTATGGATTATTTTTGTTCAGTTAACTCAATTAAGAAAAACATTATGTTTTTCTCTATTTGTGTTGTTGGGGTACCTTAAAAATCCAATATTTTATTATATGGATCCAAATTATGCATATATATATATCATAGTTCTAATAATTTCTGAAAATTAACAAATAAGCTAATGTTTATTTGTTACAAAAATCACTATGCTCCTTTTTACACCTCAATTTCTGGGATTTATTTTGGTTTCTATAAGATGGTGAAATCAATAAATCGTATAAATGATTTCAAATGAATAAAAAAAAAAAAAGTCAACTTCATGCTAAGTGTGGAATTTTCCTTGAACAAATGAATGTGCTGGTTGAGTTTCATTCTCCCTGCAATCAAAACCAGTAACCTGTAATCAAATAATTGAACTCAGGAACTTCTTTATATTCTATGCAGTAAACAATCAGAAGAGGAAAAAGAAAAAGTATAATGTTTTAAAAATACTTATCACAGTTTGAAAGATCTCTTAACATTTGCTAAATCTACTTCAAAAGCAAAGAAGAAAGAAAAGTACACATTATTTAAAACATGTTCTCACGGGTTTTTTATTTTCACTTTATTGTTAAAAACATGGTGCAACTATATTTTTTATCAATGATACTAATTAGAAAAGAGAGGTCTCTTTAATGCACCAAAAGTTCAGGTACTGTAGGAATCATGGAATCAGTGTTTGAAAATTTTCTAGTGGATGCTTTTTTACCTGTCAATTATCTTATCATGTTCTGAGCTATAAACCACTATATATAAGGCTATAAACCAATGCATGCATACAACTATTCACTTTTTAAGTGTCGGGACCATAGCAGCTTGTGTTGTCAAATATTCATAGTGATTTTTGTTCAAAAAGAAAAATAATTCTTAATCAGATTCTCATTGTTTGAAAGTTTTAGCCATTAGGATGCTTATAGCACTTCATGAATAATAGTTGTTAAGTCAGATATGATACGCAAGCACATAATTTTCCAACACGTTTTTTTACATTTTAACAATTGACACATCACAGAGGAAGTTCTCGTGAGCATGAACATGACTTCACTAGTAGATATACTATTCCCATATCAAGTCTGTTAGGTATTTTCATTGAGCAGAAATTCTGATCTTAAGTCAGTTAACATCCTTATGATCTTTGCATCTGAAATATTGAAGAGAAAAAATTTTGGCACACTAAAATGATACTCTTCCTCATCCACTATTTATTCCATACCAAGTTAATTGAATGGTTTAGATTTGAATACATCAATCATGGTGAAGATTGAAAACAGGTGTATGTATGAGATGGAAGCAGGAAAAAATCATGGACAAAACTTGTGGGGTTTGAAATTCTGACAAGAGGTTCTGAGGACGTTTCTTTTTAATCTGATGCAACTGATTTGGACTTTTGTATAGCTGAAGACAAGAAGAATTTTAATCACAGAAAGATTCATATGCATGATTGCAAGTGGGAGATAAGGAAGATAGAGACTCATTATCTTATTTTAATATTCAAAAGAGTAATGAAGGTTTTCTTGGGGTAGTTAAGGTCGGCACAAGAGTCCACTTGTGGCATGCACGAATTCGACAGCATTTGACAGGTTCTGCTTTAATTGATATTTAGGCAGAACCTTTCTACAGTTATGTTCCAAAACTCTCTCATTAAATTATTTTCAAACTGTTTTAATTCTTTCATACCTGAAATTAGAAATTGCAGATTAACTTGATGACATACAAAAAATTTCCCTTTTGAGTGTTGGACTGAACTTTCTCACACAACTATATATCATTTTTTTTTTCCTTTTGAAATTCAACCATTTTATTTTTAATTTGCTATGACAAGGTAGAATGAATGAATCCATGAGATGTTATCATTTTAACTCATTTTTAGTTCAGTATTCATGTATCCCACAGATACTGAAACAGTATTTGGAGAAAATACCAAGTATTTTGAAAATAAAATATAAGGAAAATTATTCAAAAGGAAAAGAAAAATACATGGAAAAATTAAACTTTTTCTCACCTTGAATAACTTTGCAATGCAAGATACGTATGGAAATTCCTCTGTTTTCCTACGAGACTTTCCTTCTTCTGATCACCATCTTGAAAGCTCCAAAGCAAAGATGAAGCTTGTAACTATACACACAAGCAAATTGACTGACAAAATCTGCAGATTAAGAAGATGGAAGCATTAGATACATTAGAAACGCCTCAATCAAAATATATAATCTACTAGCCACATATTTAAAAACAAAAAGATGATGAAAAATTTTAGAAGTAGGTTAAACTTCCATCATTGACTATTTACATTGGATTTAGCTGCCATAGGCATCTGGGGGAGATAACCCTTCAATCCAATGTTATAAACTGGAGAACCATTGGGATAGTAAAGGCCATAGTTTCTCTCTGATGCTGGACCAGGCTTCAAATCCTCATTAAAAAGTGCAAAGACATATATATCAATTGGAACCGATGGTTTTGCAGGAGTGCCTTGTTTCTGCTCGATCCTTTTGAGCAAGTTACCATTATACAGTGCTGCATTCTGTGGTGTAGCTCCAACCTCTTCAGGGTCACCATTAGAAGGCCAACCTGTCTCAGAAATCCTCACTTGAATGTCATCATGCCCCATTTGCTTGATGGCAGCATAGACAGCATCAATTTGAGCATATAACATGTTGTCATAATGCAAATTGGTATTTGGATCAATCGTGCCTTGATTTGGCTGAAAAAGCACATAGTTTAAGGGAACCACATTTGGGTTGTCTTTGTATGTAAAGAAAGGGTATGCATTGATGAGGAAAGGTGAGTTGATTTGAGCATGAAAGTCAAGAAGGGGTTGGATATATTGCACAAGATCTTCCCTAAAAGCCCCGGATGAAGGAGGGTAGGAGCTGGATAATATGTTGAAGGAATGGGCGGTTGTGACAGTAACTTGCTGGTCTAGTCCAAGGCTGACAAGGGCATCATGTACAGTTTGCATTGCTGGGAGGAGGTTCACCATTAGCTGAGTATCATTGCTATTAAATACCTCATTTCCCACAGTGATGCAAGTGATTTTGGTCTGTGAGAAGTATGGTTGGACATGCTGCTGAATCCAAGTTTGAGCTTTAGAAGGGTTTGTCATGTTCTCTATGTACTCATTTCCAAGTCCTATAACGAATTCCACATTGGATTCGGAGAAGGCAACTAAAACATTTGGATCAGCATCATACAGTTTGATCCTACTCACATTCAAAGATTGTATAAGCACAGCCACTTGAGATGGAAGAGGTAAATTGTTGGCTATCTGTCCGTAGTTGATTCCAAAACCAAGGCCATGGATTTTCACAACTAAATCTGTAAACACATTTGGAAGGGGAAGAAAATCAGCTTAAAATGCTTAATGCTGTTTATCAAACAAAAGTGATCAAACATTGAATCAAGAAAGCCCTTTAACTCAGATTAGATATTGATCAAGCACTCAATACATATCAGGAGAAAAGATACTACACCAAGTTGAGAGAATGAAGAGGCCAAAATAATGATTGATTCCTCATTTGAAGCTATTCTGATCACAACAACTCAAAAAGAGTAGACAGAATGTTCCATTTCCAAGGTGAGTATGAATAGAATAAGACTACCTAAGATAAAAAAACTTGTTTCTTTCCTTCTCTTTTCTTATTCATCCACTTTCCTGGAATCAAATGGAATCAAGCACAAGTACACAAAGTAGATAACAAACCCGAAATGGATAGAAGAAACAAAAGCGTTGGTTCGAAGAAGGAACAACTTGTCATCACTGATCTGATCATCATCATGGCCAAGGACCCCAACTGAGAGCACCACAGTTTTAGGCACAGAAACTGAGATAATGCAAAAGTTGTCACCTGATAGAGCCTTCATTAACATGTGAGAATCAGGCTTTTCATATAGTAATCATTGTTAAATGAGAATCAGGGTAACTCTGTTTTCTATTATATCTAACAATTCATTCACATCATTCTTAGATTACTGTTACTAAGATCGATGATAAAACAAAACAACATAATTTTAATACACTACCTCTTTCTTTCTTTCTTTTTCTAAAAAGATATGACGTAAAAAATAATGTAAAAATTTATCAAAAAAACAATGTAAGAAAATTATGAACAGATACGACGCAAATGTGGACCAGAGTTGTAGTGATTAATTAGTTGTAAATTAATTATTTAATTATAGTTTTATCTTTTCTGTAAAAGAAGGGGTATGACAATTTTTTTCTATCTAGAATTATTAGAGAAATTAAATATAATAATTATTTAATCAATAATAATTATTTTTTATTGACTAAGCTTCTAAATTTATCCTTGGGGTATATTAATATGGATGGAATAGGAAAGTTGAGAACGTATGACCAAGTAGATTAAGTGAGATTTTTTTATTTTTATTAAATAAGTGGGTCATTTTTAAATATTTCATTTTTGTCATTTCTTAAAAATTTTAAGGATTGACTTTTTAAGTGAATAAATAATATAGTGGTAATTTATTATTGTATTACATTTGTAGTAATGAAGATTAAATTTACATGCATATTGGTTCAAAGAAAATTAAATCAAATACTTAAATCAGATTTTGGATTCGAATATTATGAATAAAAAACACAATTAAAAAAAATTAAATGTTCTCACACATGGTTACAACTATGATCAGAAAGTAACATGTATCACCATGTTGTGAAGAACAGTGTTGTCTTCCTCATTTCATGTACAAATTCTGAGTGTTTTAATAAGAACCTGAACACTTTAAATAATAAGAATTTTTATTTTTTATCCCCACAATGATTAATTCAAAACATTTTTTTTATTGAGGTGAATGGTTTTTTTTTCTAAACTTTGAAGACACTAAAGAGTTCACTGTGAAAACATAATCTGGGAAGAGACGTAAAGCTACCAAACTTTGAACGTTAAATCTGCCACTAAAATGGCAAGAAATTAATTATTTAATTAATTAATAGGTAATATTATGAAGTAATAACAATGATTTTATATTGAAATCCACACATGGATGCTAGTGAAACGCACGTGTTGAGGAAGAAGGGTTCCATGAAAAGTGGCACGTGTTTGCAGTTTTGTGAAATCGAATTTTCGATCTACGTAATTGGATCTGTTCATTCATTATACAAACCCTAAAATTATAATTTTTATTTTATACAAAATATCCATTCTTAATTCTACGGTACTACTTGTGCTATATGACAATCGGTGTTATTGAAATTCATACCTGGATTCGAATTATTTACCATTTGAATGATTTTTTTTTAATGTAATATCAAACTTAAATTACATTGTTCTAATTTGTTTCGATGGTAAAAATTAGGTTTTATGGCATTTTACCCTGTTAATTTCATCAATTTTATCACCAAGTTTTTAATTTTAAAAATATATAACTTTTTATTAATTGATGCGATTTATGAAGAGTGAAATGGCATGACCTAACAATTTTTAAAAATAATTTTTTTTTTCTTACGTTTTCAATTACTATTAAATTGATAAAAAATAAAAAGGTGATCTTGACAGCTTTGAAGGTCCTCATGTTTTTGTATGATTTTGAAAAAAGTTGGAAAATAACAAAAAGTTCCACATCGGTTTGCTCTTTTTGATTTGGCAAAAGACATTGATTCATGCATGAGGTGTTATAAGAGATCCTCTCTCCCTCTCCAAGGACAGATTTCCACTGTGGGGTGGCCATACCAACCCTTTTACTTAAACCCTTATTTTTATTAGGAAGGGTTGGTGGGAGTAGCAACAACCACCATCAATCACCAGAGAAACACCCACCAAAATGTTCCTACTTGTGTTATTTTATGTAACAAACACCTCTTCAAAATCTCAACATCGCTTCACCTAATCAGACCAGACTATATTTTTCATCAATGTATATTCCACTTCATGTCAACCATCTTTTTTGGGGAGAGAGGGTCGAAGTCCAACAACAGTTTCACTATGTTTGGGCTTTGTGAACCCATTATAGTCATGTGAATCTTCTCTGCATTAGATAACCAATATTTTACAATGTTTTACAGATTAACGATTGAATATGGAATTTGAGCTTGAGGAACTTTTATGCAGAGATTTACAATGTGTTTTTCTGTGAAGAACAGTTGGTTATAAGTCCATAGAAGTAGAAAAACGATGTGTAAGGATGCAAGGAAACTTTTGGTTGTGGATTAGAAAAGTGAACTTATTAATTAAATCTCAAAATAAATATAAACATATCTTAAGAAATACATTCACGAGGGTGGCAAGTCATTTTCTGTAACTTACAAAGGTTTTTCCTTTCACGTGTATACAGCTATTCTATAGAGCCATGAATAAGACACAACATGCAATCAGACACGATAAACTGACATGTGTCAGACACGATAATCCTTTTTTTATTATTATTAAAAAAGAGGTATCTTGTGGTGCATTTGTATACATACTATCCGTGAATAAATAAAGAATTTTTTTTTTTTCACAACCAGTCCGTAATAATTTTTGAATGAATATATCCTATTAAACACATCTAACTATGTCAAGAAAAGGAATTAAATAAATTTCAAGTTCTTGGTATAAAAATTAAAGGCTATCTTTTTCAATAATTACACTAACATCAAATTTGTTCGAATTACACTGACCCCTGCTTTTATAAAATTCTACATAAATTTCATTTATTTTTTATTTTTTTAAATAGTACATTGTTCCTCTTGTTCTATTGCCCATAAATTCCCTTAAGTTTTAAAAACATTATGCCTTAGGTTTTAAACACATTACATATGCTCCCCTTGTTACATTACACTTGCGCAAACAATGTTTAAATGCCAAACGAAGTTGTTTATACTCTTAATATCACAGTGATTGCTTGGACAAACAAAAATTCATTATCCCAAAAGATAGGTTGATTCTAAATCAGAACAAGCAAACTAGTTGCAAAGTCTACCTTGAATTCCCAGTTCCCAAATCTAAGGCTCTTTGCTCAGTAGAGCTCTCCTTCCTTGTGAGTCTCAATTACACAATCTGCAGTTGGATAGGAGACACAGGTAAGAACATAACCTTCCTTCATTTGGTTATCATCAAGGAATGAGCCATCAGACTGATCCACAGAACCAGAAACAATCTTCCCAGCACAGGTAGAACAAGCTCCAGCACGGCAGGAGTAAGGAAGTTCAACTCCGGCATCCTCTGCTGCATCTAGGATGTAAGTATCTTCTGAGGCTTCAAATTCGTTCTCTTTTCCATCAGGACCAATCAGCTTGACCTTGTAAGATGCCATGGCAGTCACTCTAAATGAAGAGGATGACTTCAAACCAAAAGATCTGGAAACACTCTTCACAGACCCAAGAGAAGAAGGGCACTTCACTTTGGTGGCAACAGTGGATTGATTTTTGCTTGGAGTTTGAAACATGCAATGGGAGGAAACCTTCACAGTTGACAAGGTTGCCATGATTAGCCTGAAAACAAATCAACACTACAAAATTAACCTTTTGCAGAGAAAAAGTAGTAATCTATTACAAAAGGCAATGGCTATAGAGAATTAGAGCAAGGTAGTACATACTACTGAATAAAAATTTTAAGACTTGAAATACAATCTAATTATATTAAGATAAAGTTCTACAAGACTGACATTGCTAAGCAAATACATTCATCAAATATCAATCATTAACATTCCAAAAAACCTAAAAGAATAAAATTACCTTAATTATAACTGTATGTAGGCCAATAATTTTATACAGGAATGATTTTTCACCTAGCATATAAATGGCATACAAAATATCTCTTTGCTGATCTATGTTGCACAGGTATGGGAATTGGGTGCCACATGAGTATGTCGATATTGTAACAATGCTCTTCAGGTATCCAGTGCAATGCAGGTATGATTTGGGATTAATTAGGACGCAAGTGCAAGAAATGAATGTACTAAAACTATCTTTTATATCCACAAATAGTGTTTAGATTTTTTATTTTGCATCATTATAAACTAATTTTTATGTCCTTACTTCATTTATCAGCTTAAGTTTTTAGGAGAGATATCCCTAGCCTCATCCAGATTTCACTATAATGCTCACCACCAACAAAACATTGGAATACACAACACAACATTTACTAGAAACATCAGATAATTTATTCATATAAAATGTCATTTAATTACAATGTAGTAGCCTGCACATTTAACATGCACAAAATGATTGAATGAAGAGTAACATCCTTCTTAGTTCTCGTAATCATTGTGTCTTAATGCTAAGACCACCCGTTACTAGTGAACATTCAACATCCTCTGCAAGGTCAGGATGTTAAAATGTTTCACATGACAGAACCAGAGAAGTGAATCGCAAAACTATAACAAAATGTCAAGGCAAGCAGGTAAGTAAGAATAAGTGTTTAATCGTACAGAAAATTGTAGAAGTAACTAAAAACCTTGACATTTGAATGAATTTGTGCCATAAAATTTTACAAAGAATGGAACCAATTCCACTCCTGTTCTATAAAAGGCTTTTGATATATGGAGCAGTATGACAAGAAGCAGGATGGTAACTCTGCTCTCCACTCGATGCTCCAAATTTACAACAAAAGCAAGCTACAAAATAGTCTAATTCTCTCTTAAAGCCAAACTCTTAAACACTCATCACACACAAAGCATAAAACTATTACATAACCAGCCAAAAGACCCTGAGACTCCAGAAACAAAACTCAGCTGCATTACTAAACGTTAAAGAAGTATAGCAAACCCACAAAAAGAAAAGTTTGTTTCTTTGCATAAAAAACCTCCAGATTAGATTACAATCCCAATCCCTAATCAATCCACAATGCAAGATTCAAAGAAAAAGAGCGCAAAGCAATGCATGCAAAACTATTCAACCAAATATTTAGGCACACTAAACCCAAACCCCATCGAAGGTGTTTAAGAAAAAAGATACTCTTTTTCTTGTTCTTTTAAAAAAAAAAGACCCATGTTCCTAAGAATTCGAGAAATGATCGAATATGCTGTAAATACAAAATTTATGTGTCTGCAAGCAACTGGTAAGAGGAAAAAAAATTATGCAGCTTTGATAAAGTGGTATAACCGACTCAAAAAATTGCAGAGTATAAAAGAAAAAAAACAATTCTTATAAAATATAACTAATGAAAAAACATAAAAAAATAGATAACGATAGAATACGATAAGCGCTTACAGCGAAGAGAAGATGGTGGATATTGAAAGCGGAGAAAACGAAGTGGTTGACGAGAGAGGAAGTGAAAGGTTCTTTGGGGTTTATGAATGAATGAATGAATGGATGTTGAAAGTAAAATGAAATTTGATCCCTCTTTGCCCCTTCTAGATGTTACTCGCCCACAGTTTCAGACACACTAACTTTTTATTTTTTTATTTTTTTATATTATGATAGAATTAATTAAAAATCATTAAGACAACACTAGTTAATGTAATTAAGATTTTTTTTTCATTTTGTTCAAATATTATATTATTTTCAATGTAAAATTTATTTTAATTTTTTAAAATTAAGTCAATGTACTTTTTTTTATTAATACTATTAAATTATTTATAGAAAATTTCATCATAATACACATTAAACCTAAAACATAATTGTTATGAAGTTTTACAATTTAATTCTATGGGCGAAATTGTTTAACGAGGCCTAGGCCCAAGAGAAGTTAACAGTTTAAAAAGATTGCTATTCGTACTCTGTTGTTTTATTTCTTCAACTTCCTAACTTTTTTGTAATATTAAAAAAAAATTCTAGAAATTTTTTTGTAATACTAATTTTTCTAGAAAATTAATTTGGATCAAATCAAGAGGAAATGTTTTTGAAAAGACAAAATCTCAAAACACTAATTAATTGTAATAATTATTTTTTTATTTGAAATTAAATGATTTTTGTACACAGTATTTAATATAAATACTGACAAATAAATTTTAGAAAATTCAAACTATAAGTTTTTTTTACAGTTAAGAGTTATAAATTAATTTCACTTATTATACTAAAACTGTCACGACTTATTCGGAAAAAACAAAATGGTGCAAAAAAAAATTAAAATTTGTCTTTAAATAGATAGTTCTTATAATATTATATCTAACTATTTGTCATCAAATTTCATTAATAATTAGACTAATTAAGTTTGGTTAAAATAAAAAGTTCTTCAATTTTGATAGAGATTTTTTTTCCTCCAATTTTGAGTGTCAGGTGCCCATAATTTGTTTATTCAATTGAATCAATTACTGTTTTATTTTAATTTAATTTGTAGTTTAAATGAAATTAAACCAAAATTACCTGTTTTATAAAATAATAGTTATATTTTTCTTACACAATTTTAGTAATATATATATATATATATATATATATATATATATATATATATATATATATATATATATATATATATATATATATATATGGTTGAATTTTTGTTAGTTGTTGGAAGTTTGAATTCTACTAAAATTAATTCATGTGACTAAAAAACCAGAAAGAAATAGCAGCTGGTAATAGATTAAGTTTTGTTTACAGGATTAGTTATGGTAAATACATTGTTCTTTCCACAAATTAGAGAGTAGCCTCGCTTTCATTACTTTCATTGTAAATTCTCTTCTCAGTTCCAACTGAATCCATTCAAGTCCAGTTCTTTACAACTCCTTCTATCCTTATCTTCAGTGGTTAGGTCCAGTTTTGATGCAGCAAAGTATGAAGGCAGTCCATAATCTTGAGAAACTTTGGCCACTGGTTTCACTGATTCTTTCCTAATGCTGCTTCCATTCTCAGTTTCTCCTTCAAGTCCAATGCTCATAGACAAGTTGCTTGGACTTCTTCTGCTCAATGGGGTAAGGAAGGTGTTCTTATTCACTGGATCACACCACTTGAGGTCGGTGTTTGGTAGGTTGTTAAGATTGGGACCCTCGATGACCTCCTTTCGTTCCATGAATGTGTTGACATTGAAGGGTCTTAAGCTCATCCCCCCATTTTGTATCTCTTGCTCTTTTTGTGACCCCTCACAAGATGTGAGGCAACTGTCCATAGAACAGTCATTTGGCTGGTTGGTTTGAGTTTGGTGAGGGCTAAATCCTTGTAACTCCTTCAGCTCTGAAAATGCTGAATTCAGACACTGAGAGGACACTTTGGACACTAGATCTGAAAGTTGAAGTTTGGCAGCTTCAAGTCCTACTACTCCCAGATTTTGTCTACCAAGTGTTTCTTGAGCCTTCTCCAGCACAGCTTGAAGGTATTTTCCTTGAGCCTCTATCCGGAGCTGCAGGAGTCTTTGCACCTAGATGGGTCAGATGGATTTGTTAGAATTTATGAAGACATTTCAAGTGTCAGAAAAGATGAAGGCCTTATGTTATGTGAATTGTTTTGCATATGATACGCATATAGTTTTAGACTATCACATGTTTATATCTGATCAATCTCTGTGTAACATATAATTTATTTATCTTATTTATAAGAAATAATTAATAACACTTAATTAGATATTATGTGAAACTTAATTGAAACTATAATGGTCTTACACCTTTTAATAATATATCAAGTTACGGGTTGAAACGACATGCATGATAATGGTAAGTTGGTTTAACACACCTCAAGTTGCTCATTTAGTCTTCTCTGAACTTCAATTTGCATCTGCAGTGCCTCACTTATGTGTAAATCTCTGCGACCAGGACAACGAGTGTTAGTTTAAAACCTTTTGTGATAGAGATTAAAATTTTCATATTACAAGAAAACATGCTTGAAAACTTAAAAGTGGAAGTTTCTTACTTGTTATTAGACTGAGGGGCAAGGTTTAAATTGTTCACATGCGTTCCATTGTTTTCTCTGAGTCTTTCATCTGTTGCTGCACCTGGATTTATGGCTGAGAAACCAGTTTGTTGTTCAGAAACAAAGCTTGCTGATTCATTATAGATTTAGACATAATGGAAGGATTTCATCTTACAGATTTTGTGTGTCACGTTATTACTTTGTCCATGCAAACTCTTGCTCAATCTGTACTTCTGGTGGGGAAAAGGAAATGATCAGTAATTGCACCACCATACATGTCAAGGTTAGAAAGTTATTCTGGGTTCGTAGCTGTGTATACATCAAAATATCTTTGCATAAAAATTTAGCTGATCTAAACGATGAAGATTTATCAGGTTATATGGAATATAGCAGAAGTATGTTATGTACAAGGCCTGCAAACCTCGAGACTAGTTATTTAATGCTTACACTAAAGTAATTTTGGGAAGGTAATAGATTATGATGTGAAGGAGAATAAGATCATGTTTTGCATGTAATTTTCTTTTGCATGGAACTTTTAAGATTCCTATCGTATGAGAGCCTTGAGATAATCATCGAAGTATTTCCCATAGTACTGAGACAAAAATTTATATATTCTATTGGTAGTTTGTCTTGAATTTGATTGGAGTAAAGGGTGGATTACTTTACCATGTTTAGAGCAGTGAAATCCTTTTCTTTTTGGTAAATCTCAAAATTATATATTTTGAACAACAAAAACAAGACTTCTTTAGTTGAGAGTCACACTAGAGGGAGAATGATACAGGACTTCATTTGGCACGCAAGAACATTGTAAATAATATATGAACATAATGCAGAAAACTATTTATTTTTACCTGAAGATGGCTCTTCAGATGATACAAAGTAAGCCCTGGAATCCCCATGAGTTTCATTACCGTTTTTGGAGTTGCCTCTGCAGAATAAAATTTACACATAGAATTGTTCAACCAAAAAAGTTCTATCCTCTTCAAGATTTGATGATCAATAAATGAATATGTATATATACTCTTAAATACTCACTGTCAGCTCCTCCTAACTGCTGCACAGCTTCTATAAACCTGGCATGAAGATCAGGTGTCCATTTCAATCTAGGCTTAGCATCAGTTGAGAGAACAAGTCCAGAATCACCAGATCCATTTCCTGTGTGAAGGAACATATGCCTCTCAGAAGGGATTGGCATTCTGGAAGAAGAATGAATGTTCTTTCCTTGATGTTGGTGATGAGTGTACATTAATTCAACCTGCTAAAGCCACTTATAAGCACCATGAATCAAACAACATATATAATCACTTGATTGTGTCTTTACCTATCAGGCTTCTATTCTCTGGATCACTTTGCTACTTCTGAAAGGTGAAAATCGATAATGTTCTATTTGCAAGTAGTAATATTATAAGAGTTGATAGTAATATACTAGTGAACCTCTCTCTCTCTCTCTCTCTGTCTACTCTCAACTTGTAGTGCTTGTCTAGCTTGTTTCTCCTCTGCACATATCTCTTCAGTGCAAAGCCTCCTTAGACAGTAGTTATATATGAGAGCTGGAGGGGAACTAGTACACATGGAATCTTTGGTAGAACCAATGGAAAACAGAACTTAATCCTTTATGCATGGTTACCTGACAAATAGACTCTTCCTATTCCTCCTTTTCTCTTCACTTGTGTTATGCTTGTGGACCCTCTCAGTTCCACTTTCTATTCTAAGCCAGTGCAAAACATTCCATTTGAGTTCCTTGTTTCTTTTTTTTATTGTTGTACCCATTTGAGTCCTCTTTAGCGGGGACACAATTGTATAATTAGAAATTAAAATTACTGAAATTACCATGTATATAAACATCACTACAAGGTGTATTGTTTTACCCCTCAGTTTTTATTACATATGTTTCCTGCATATATATATATATATATATATATTGCCTCTTACAACTGTCTTGGAATTTGTGCAATGTCTACATGAAAATTAAAATGTTGCAAAATTTATACCCCATAAAATCAATATGCAAATATCTAGTTCCTAACTGCATTAGATTCTGGAATTGATCCTTCAAATTTTAACCAAATGTGCATTCTTATTCGCTTGCCTGGCAAAAGTGGGAATCATATTCCCAGATTTGAAAATAGGATTTTATTTTTGTTTTATTTTTCCTGTCTTTGGTTATGGGGAATCTTATATTCCTCTCTACTTGGAACTGCCAAAGCTCATCCATTACATATCTTTGCTCTAGTTGAAGATTCTTGCAAGTTAAGGCCTAAATGCTCTTGTGATCATTATGGCAGTCTTCAACCTGCAACAATATTTTTAACATGATGGATGATTTTGTTGAATGCTATGTTAAAGTACACATGCGCGCACACACACACACACACACACACATATATATATATATATATATATATATATAAGCCAAGGAACTTCTTAATTAGTTGTAGATGCATGAAGAAGTTATGAATAATAAGAAGGGTTAAGTCCATTGACTAGAGCACCTTGAAATGGAAGAAAAGGTGTAAAAAAAAACACAGTTAAGATGCTTGCATGGGACTGTTTGGAGGTAACGAATAGAATAAGAATACGTTCTGTTTTGTCTGCATCCATAAGTTTGGAACTTATTCAGCTCCCACAGTCTGAAAATTTGAAATAGGAAGAAGGTGGACCCAAGTTTTTTCATTCTTTCTTTGGCACAAAAATTCAATCAAGTCCCATCCTCTAGAATCACAAAAGCAAGACCTAATTAAAAGTGAAAGCAAGAATTGTACTTGCTTCTATACTTACATTTGGTTAAATGCTGCATATATATAATATATAAATATAGGACCACTTACCTTACCCTTGACTTGTACCTTGGTTAATGAAGCAGATTCCTGTGCCAGCTTTTTAATTTTCTGTATGGTTATAATTCTTATCCATGCACAACTTTCAATTATTCACTATGATCATGCTCGATCGTGAAGTTTTAGAATCATGTATTTAGACATAAATGACGTACTATCAAAATGCTGTGGCAGAAAATGATTGATTATTGGAGGTGTTAGAAAAATCACTTGCAGTTCATGTTTATCATATCACACATGTTTAATGTATTTTTTAGATATAGGCTACGAATATTTATGAGAGATCTTTCATGGATATATCTCTAAACTTTAAACTTGAGATTATGTAGGTTAAAAGTTTGTTTATCCCATCAACAATTGAATTTAATGTTCATAGGAAGTGTAAATTGCTCAGAATGTACATATTCCAAATTCCATTAGATGATTTTGATTTTTCGAAATCGATTATGGTTAAGAATAAGTGTAAAGTGAAATATTTATAATTTTTAAGAATTTTTTTTTGTAATTTTTTGCTTTTATTATATTTTTTCTAATTTTCTTTTATATTAACTATTTTTTTGTCATCAAACCCTAAATTATGAAGTTTATAAATTTTATGAATCACTCTTTTTAATTTTATAAACACTAAAAAGGTTTTTTTTTTTAATTAAAACTTTGCACACTAATTATATAAGTATAATTGTGAAAAATATTTCAAGTAAAGACAATTTAATGCTACTAAATTAATCAACTTTCTTAGTAGACTTGGATTATTCCAGTGTTATATATAAAAGACAGAGGAGGTCTTTTTACAAGGGTTAATTTTTTAAATTTTTTTTGAAATGGATAAATTTTAAAAAATTATAAATTTAGATAAATCATATATCACTTTAAAATAAAAAATTTATATTTAATAATATAATTTTACTTTCATTTTTTTAAGTAGAAGTCGTATTACTACTTAGTACGACTTTTGATTTATACAAATAAGTTATAGTTAAACTTCTTCTTTTTTAATTATTTTTCATTATTATTATTACAAATAAAAATATAATAATAAAAATATTTTTATATTATTAATATATTTAAAAATAATAATAATCATTGTTATTTTATTTAATAAAATAAATAATAATAATAAAGTTATATTATTTATATAATTAATAATAATAATAAATTTATTATTATTATATTATTCTATTAATATTATTATTATTATAATTCATAATAAAAAATTATAATTAATAAATAATATTAATAATACGATTAAATTAATAATATTAATATTAATATTAATAATTATAATAATAATATTAATAATAAATGTTAAGAAAAACTATTATTATTTTATTAATAATAATAAAAATTTATTAATAAATTTATTTTTAATAAATTATTACATTGATAAATTTTTAATAATTTATTATTAATAAAAAATAATAATAGTTTTTATATTATTAGTATTTATTATTATTATTATTATTTATAATAAAATTAATAATAATAACAATTTATTATTATAATCAATATTATTATTATTATTATTATTTTAATCTTATTATTAACATTATTTTTTTCTTAATAAAAATATTATTATTATAATTCATAATAAAAATAAAAAATAAATTTATTAATAAAATAATATAATAATAGATTAATAATTTTTATTAATTATATAACTAAAATAACATAATATTTATTATTAATTATTTTATTAAAAATAAAAAAAACTATTATTATTACTATTAAATATATTGATAATATAAAATATTACTTTACTTTTATTTATTTATAATAATAAATTATTAAAAAATAAAAAAGTAGAAGTATGACTTCTATATAAACTAATATATATAGAAATTACTTAAAAAAAATCATATCATCAAATACAACTTATCTATTTGGTACAAAAAATAAATAAATTTATATGCTTTTCGTAAAAAAACCAACGGAGGAAGTATTTAAAAACTTTCATTTTTAAATTAAGTTTATGTAGAAAATTCTCCCAAGAATTGTTCCATTTTTTGTTCTTTCGCTTTTAGTCTTTGAAGAGTGTGAAAACAATTTACTTTGAAATAACCAAACATCATATTGTTCTCTGGTTCGGTTGCCTCAAACTCCATGTTATAGGACTTTTGCATGCCTATAAAATATTTGGAATTTCTTAGACTTGTATATTCACTAGTACAAAAAACACTTTTAACATCGGCCTTTTTACATCGGTTGTTAAAGAATCGATGTAGAAATTTTTTTAAAGCCTTTCCACATCGGTTCAGATTGGAACCGATGTAGAAAGTACTTTCTACATCGGTTCCACCATGAACCGATGTGGAAAGTGCTTTCTACTCTGATTTAAAATAATTCTGATCGGTCATAAACTCATTCTGATCGATCATAACCAAAAATGTGGATGTCGCTCGAGCGAGACAGTGTCGCTCAAGCGAAAAACCACCCGAGAAGGCCAATAATTTGGTGAAGGTGGCATCGCTCGAGCGAGACAGTGTCGCTCAACCGAAAAACCACCCGAGAAGGCCAATAATTTTGTGAAGGTGGCGTCGCTCGAGCGAGACAGTGTCGCTCAAGCGAATTACCACCCGAGAAGGCCAATAATTTTGGGCAGGTGGCGTCGCTCGAGCGAGACAGTGTCGCTCAAGCGAAAAACCACCCGAGAAGGCCAATAATTTTGGGCAGGTGGCGTCGCTCGAGCGAGACAGTATCGCTCAAGCGAAAAACCACCCGAGAAGGCCAATTTTGTGGAGGTGGCGTCGCTCGAGCGAGACCAGTGTCGCTCAAGCGAAATACAACCCGAGAATGCCAACTTTTTTCCAGGTCGCGTCGCTCGAGCGATATTATTGTCGCTTGAGCGAGTGTTGACCTGCACTTTCTACATCGGTTCCCCCATGAACCGATGTGGAAAGTGCTATCTACTCTGATTTAAAACAATTCTGATCGGTCATAATCTCATTCTGATCGATCATCCGGTTCTGATCGGTCATAAAGCCATTCTGATCGGTCATCTGATATACTTTCTACATCGGTTCCCCCAATAACCGATGTGGAAAGTCTTAAAATAAAAAATTATAATAAAAATTTTAGACAGTAAGCCCTATAGACTCCATTCTTGCCCTTACAGACTCGACTCCCAGACCCAATTACAGACTCGACTCCCTGTGGAATTCTTCCCTTGCTCCTAGCCATTACCAAATTCATTCTCGCAGTAGCGAAAACCACCGTCTCCTTGCCCCTATCGCAGTAGCGAAAACCACTGTCTCCCATCTCCTTCCCCCAATCGAATCCCTAACCTCTGTTTCCCCAAGCGAAAACCACCCTTGCCGTGCACCAAGAACTGCGATGCGCACCAGGAACTGCGACGCGCACCAAGAACTGCGACGCGCCACCCTCGTCTTCACCTCTGTGAAACCCTCTAGGAGCTCCTCCTCATTGCACCTGCGCACCTTCGATATCGTCGCGAACCAGAGGTGATTCGGACCAGGTCCGTGGGTCTATCCTATTGGCTTCTCATCCTTGTTTTGTCAATTACCTTTATGCATTTCCCTTGATTCTGGATTGTTTTGTTTGGTCATGGACTGATTCTGCCTGGGTTTAATGTATGTAGACATGTTTATTCTGGGTTTTGTATTATTATTTCCGTTTAGTTTGACTTGAATATGTGATTTTGACTTGGTTATTCTCGTGGGGTTGAGATTGGTGTTATCCAAGCCCTGTTGGGTTGGTTGATGTCGCTCTGGTTCGAGTCTCTTAGCGGAAGAGTTAAGGCTATGGGTTTCCACTGTCTGGGGTGTAGGGCTTTGGGGTATTGATTATATTTGGTTCTCTTGTTTTTCATTTGGGTTTGTTTCTTATGTTGTTGATTTAGGTTTGTTCTTTGTGTTGTTTGTTTTGTTCCTGGAGTTTTACTTGTTGTTCCGAGTACTATTTCGAGTTTGGATTATA